AAGCCCGCCGGAGGTTGGACAAGACGCTGCTTCTCAACAGCCAGGGGGTGACGGACGGTGTAGGACGGAAGGAGGCGGGATACGAAAAGTCAAGCATGCATATGGAGCCCGTGGGCATGGCCGTCTGCAAAGTCACGTTGATCGCGGCGGGGGAGGTTGGAGCCCCTGATCTGCTGACGATGTTTGTTGAGGAGGAGTGGGGCGGGCCACATCGAGGTTACCGACGTTTGCCGTCGGTTCTTACTCTCTCGGTACGGTTGCTCCTTTTGCATGGGGGACGAGGTTGGCATCGCGGCCAGTGCACACATCGTCTACGCGCCGGACGACCCCGCTGGAGTGAGCTTTTTGCTGTACGCCACCGGCGGGCAGACTTCGTATCTTGCCAGCGCCGAGATGGCACTGCTGAAAATGGACAAGACGGCAGGGGTCTTCGGGGCGGGGGAAGACGCCACTTTCCCGCATTTCTTCGGGCGCTTTTGTGGAGTGGAGCTTATCCTCGCTGTCCTCGCTGCTCGCGATGGTCGGAGTCTGGATTTTACCGAGAGCTGTCACGGAGCCCTGTATCCGCACCGAGCAGCAAGCGTGGTGCGGTCCCTCAAGGGTTAGGCCGGAGGTATGCCTGGTTCGAACGCTCCTCTTGTCATCTCGCTTCTTCTGTGTTCTTCCTTTGTTTTTTTACACACGTTGCCATAGTTGTTGATAGCCTTGGTGTTGTGTCGTATTTCTCGTTGTTGCTGCTGCTGCTCGCACCTCGAAGTATTGTTGTTGTTGATGCTGTTGCTGTTGATTTGGCTGCTGTTGGTGGTGGTGTTGTGTTGCGATGGAGTTGCGTTGTTGTTGTCGTTTGCATGTTGTTGTCGCTGCTGCTGATGTCTTGGTGTTTGACGTCGCCCCTACCGTTTCTGTTGTTTTTGCTCTTCTTTGTTAAAGGTTGATGTTGTTGTTTAAAATCGATCTCGGAGCTCGAAGCGTCATCAAGTAGGTACCGGTGTGGAGGATTGTTGTTGTTGCTGGCGTCTTTTTTCTTGCTTGTTTTTTGTGTTGTTCTATTGCTCTCGTTTCTCCATTGCTGGATCCTCGTCTGCGCCATGCATCCAAACCCGCAGGCAACGCAAGCTGGACCGGCCTCACGAAGGGAGACAACGAGGCGGAGGCCGAGGTAGCCAAGCGGGGGGCTGAGACGGCCCATGCTGCGGTGCCAGAGGAGGAGAAGGCGGAGACGGCGCATGCCGTGGAAGCAGCGACCAACCGCGTGGAGCTGGTCAGGACCGCCAAGAAGCGCCGGAGGGAGGGCCGTGATTGCCGCCGGCGTTGCATTCGTTCGGGCTGGGATGACTTGGATGCTTTCGTTGTATATGCCGTTGTCGTTTCGTCGTTGTTGCTCTTGTTGTTGTTGTTGTTGTTCCCGGTGTTGTTCTTGGTGTTACAGTCGAACGCGTCGTTGGCAGAGTATTGGCGCCAATCGTCCACGAGGCCGCCCCCCCCTGCCCCAGCTGTTTCTGTTGGCAGCGATTGCTCGGCGAATGTTGGGGTGATGCCGATGGTGCAGCTGCTATATTTCCGAGCCTCCTGCATGTCAATGACATAGGAAGAGTACCCCAACCGTATGCCATCCTCATGCATGTCCGGCTCAGTAAACGTAGCGCTTGTTGTAGCTGCCTTTGGTGATGTGAATGGTGATGGCTGTGCTGTTGTTGTTGTTGCCTGCACCCCCCCCCCCCCCCCCCCCCCACCCCC